TACGGGTGCCACAAAGCGAGATCACACACTAATGAATGGTCGACTGTCGCTAATATCCCAGTATTTGTTAGCAATAAGAAGCAGTAGGTGTGTTCTGAGAAGAAAACGGCAAAGCAAATCTCCGGAGGACAACGACACTAGACAAACCTCTCTGGTTTTATTCTGTTTCCCATCGCCTGAGATTAACGTATCATAAAGTGGGACAAAGAACGGTCGGACAAATTATATAAAGTTATGGGAAGGGGTATCACTTCGGTTAAACAATATCGACTGCATAAGGGCGGAAAAGTAGTAAAACTTAGACCCTTGCCGCTAATGACAACTTTGGATTCAGCACTCGTCTAATAACTGAAGTTCCAGTATTTAGTCTGAGCACAGATCATGTAATGTCACTGGTTCTTAAGCACATGATCGTAGAGGCCGAATATAAGATGACCGACAAGATGCTCATTCAACATTTAATATGTAAAGAGGGTTAAAGATGGTAAGTTTAAAAATGGAGTGGTTCGGTCATGCAGGCGTTGTCGCCATGCGATGTATTTCTTTTCATACTAAATATATTATTCAACACACAGCTTAACTGTGTTCTTCAGAAATGCTAAACGTCATATTGCTGACTGTAAAATAGGACAAGTCAGTATGAATGATGATGTGACTTCCACGTGAAATATGATATTTAAACAATTAGTCCCTTTTATAAATTTCGATAAAACAATGAGAAAACGGAGTTGATCTGAAAAATGTGATGTATTTGCTCTATACATTTTGAACAATCTGGTCACACATATAATTGGCAGGGCATTTTATATGAAAATTAGTAAAGGTCAGCAAAATGGAAGTTCAAGTGAAAAAGTAACAAAGGGGAGAGTAACAATTTTACATAGTATAGAAAGAATAAGAAATTGTCGCGTTATCCTAGGCCATAGATAGACTTGAGGATTACCAAGGTAAATTCAGGGTTACGACAAACTGTTTTTGTACACATAAGGGGGTTTAAATTTACGAATAGCCAAGAATTCAATAAACTTGAGAATTCGTCCTTGACAATTTCTATGCAACGTTTTCGGAGCAGTATTAATGTCAATTTTGCGCCCCGTTTCAGTTATATGTTTCGCTATCGATGAACCTGGTTTTCTACCTCCCACGTTGATCGGATCATTTGAAACACATAGATCTTGAAGCCATCTATGCAAATGTTCAATAACTCTTGGATGATTCGATTGCTCCTTCCTATATATGTGTGTCCACACAAACATGTAAGTCAGTAAATACAATGGGATGTGAAGTGATCATTAGTGCGTTGTCTACGTTTATTTGGAACCATGGGCTTAGACTTTTCAATCACAACCAACCGAGAAGTATAATAGGTTTCTTCGATGACTGATTTCAATCTCTGTCTTAAAACCATACTGCTAGATTTACCTCTATATGGTAAATGGATGTAAGCCTATTTCTTTGGAAATGAATAAACAAGAGTTCTTGGGATTAACTGACCTTTGCGCTTATTGATAAACTTTAGCCGATAAGAAAGGAGATCTGAAAAAGTGTGAAAACTACAGAGGCATTACAACTCTGTCAGCACCAGGAAAATTCTTTAATAGAGTGTTGCTGAGCTGGATGAATTACACAATAGACGCTCAACTTCGAGATAAACAAGCTGGATTCCATAAGGACCGGTCGTGCACAGACCAAATTGCGACACTATGAATCATCGTCGAACAATCAATTGAGTGGGACTCGTCACTGTACATCAACTTCATTGATTATGAGAAGGCATTTGACAGTGTAGATAGGAGGACGTTACGGAAAATTCTTCGACACTACGGAGTTCCTGAGAAGATTGTCAATATTATCCGGAACTCATATGACGGACTACAGTGCAAAGTAGTGCATGGAGGACAGCTGACTGAGGCATTTCAAGTAAGAACAGGAGTCAGACAAGGCTGTCTACTCTCTCCCTTCCTTTTTCTTCTGGTGGTCGACTGCATTATGAATTATTCGACATCTGAGGGAAAACACGGCATACAATAGACAGCTCGGAACCAATTAGATGACCAAGCCCTCCTATCGCATACACACGAACAACTGCAGATAAAGATAGCCAGCGTAGCAGCAGTCTCTGCATCAGTCGGCCTCAACATACACAAGAGGAAAACCAAAGTCCTCAAATACAGCACAGAGAACACCAACCCAATCACAGTTGATGGGGAAACTCTGGAAAATGTGGAATTTTTTACCGACATGGGAAGCATCATTGATGAACAAGGATGATCAGATGCAAACGTAAATGCGAGGATTGGCAAAGCAATGGCCGCATCCTACAATTGAAGAATATATGGAACTCAAAACAACTTTCAATCAATATCAAAGTCATAATCTCCAATACGAACGTCAAGGCAGTTCTACTGTATGGAGCTGAAACTTGGAAAACTACTACAACCATCATCAAGAAGGTACAAGTATTTATCAATAGCTGTCTACGCAAGATACTCAACATCCAACATTGGTTGAATATCATCAGCAACAGCCTATTGTGGGAGAGAACATACCAGCTTCCAGCGGAAGAGGAAATTGGGAAAAGATGATGGAAATGGATAGGACATACATTATGTAAATCATCAAACTGCATCATGAGGCAAGCCCTAACTTTGGATCCTGAAGGAAAGCGGAAAAGAGGAAGGCCAAAGAACACATTACGTCGGGAAATAGAAGCGGATATGAAAAGGATGAAAAAGAACTGGAAAGAGCTGGAAAGGATTGCCCAGGACAGGGTTGGATGGAGAATGCTGGTGAGCGACCTATACTCATTCGCGAGGAGTAACAGGCGTAAGTAAGTAAGTTTCAGCCAGTAACTTTTCATCTTTTTCAACCGTGTCAGCAGTACAAATTCTTTGAGTCTTCTTAAAGTGACACTTATTTAAGCCTCGCTTGTATTGCAATGGACAGAAACTATAGAAATCTAATTCTTGTCCTTGGTAATCCTCAAGTCATTCTATGGCCTAGGATAACGCGACAATTTCTTATTCTTTCTATACTATGTAAAATTGTTACTCTCCCCTTTGTTACTTTTTCACTTGAACTTCCATTTTGCTGACCTTTACTAATTTTCATATAAAATGCCCTGCCAATTATATGTGTGACCAGATTGTTCAAAATGTATAGAGCAAATACATCACATTTTTCAGATCAACTCCGTTTTCTCATTATTCTACCGAAATCTAAACATAATAGTTTAGGTGGCATTGTCATGGTAAGTCAACGATTGTAGAAAGGACCTAGATTCTTGTAAATAAATAAGTGTGCTATTGCTGATCTAGACCAAGGTTTTACGAGCCAACGAACTTAGAGTTTATTCAATAGGGTCAAGGTACGTTATTCTGTATGGCGCATGAAGCGTTTTTGAGTGATTCGTGTTTAATTATGTCATTACATACACTCTGTGCTTAATTTGGACGGGTTTAATTTAGGAAAGAAAATAAATTATTGAATATGTGCAACATACGTCAAACGATACAGCCCATGACATACAGACAAGTGTTTTTCTAGCACAAAATAACACGCTGAGAGTCACTAGAGATATTTCAAACAAGATGGTATCAAATACTTACAATAGTATTATAATGATACTATTTCATTCTCAAATAAAAATATGTTGCATGAGAAATGCTAATTTACAGCCAGGATCAAATCGTAACAAGTGCCACAGAATTTGCTGATAGAAGCTACCTAGTTCCATAAGGAACAGTCCTTGTTCCGATTCCATTTTTGATCCTTGTTTACGACCTGTTTGATGAAACCAGCTCGATGACATTGGTCTATGCAGACGACGCAATTACCTGGAGGCACACAAAAGGTGAAAAGAAACCGATTGAGCTTCAAAACGATCTTACAACAGTAGAGAAGTGGGCGGTAGACGGTTGGTTATAACTTGGCTTGTAGAAATGTCATATCATGACACATGATCGCAAAACACTTATACCCTTTCAATGAAATTTGCCCTCGATTGTCTACTCAGAGAGTGATCTCGGGCTAAAGGCTTAGGAACCAGCGTATACTTTGTAAGGCACGGAGCCGAGATAAACTCAATTTTTCATTTTATGTGAAGATGACTTGAGGCAATCACCACAGAGCTTGTCCTGACACCGTTTACATCGTATGCGCGTCCCCAGATGACGTCCGCATTGTCGTTGGGCCCATACTCTCTAAAGGAGTAATAAATTTCTTCATTAATCTCACGAGGACAAGCTTCAACGTCTGGGACTATTTCTGTCGAGCTACAGGGCGATACGTGGTGACCTGATATTGGCGTACAACAAATTCGGTACGCCAATCAACTCCCACACGGTTATATGACCAGAACAGCACCACCCCGCCCTTCTAGCCAACTCTCGGAAGATTACACATCAAGGGGAGAACACCCAGATATGCTTTCACCTTTTCACATCGTGGGTTACCCCCATTTGTAATGCTCTCCCAAATAAAGTGACCACTACCTCATCGTTGGATAGTTTTAAGGTGAGACGTGACAAACAAGTACTCACCAAAAGATTACCATCTCTTTCTTTAACCAGAAGTACCTATGAATGTTTCGCAAATTACCATGGTATCCATAATTGGATGTCATTAACTACTTCCTATCTTTCGCATCATAATCTCCGTTTTTTAACATACAACTATTTAAGTAGATTGTTTATTTGTTCTCGAGACAATCTTCTCCTAGCACTTTAATTATCACCTATTCACATTACCATTCCAGTCAACCAACCTTTCAGTTAATATGACAACTGCTGGTATTCAGAATCCCTTTTAATCTGAGACAAACTTACTCATACTACAAGATATACAAATCCACGAATAACTATAAAACTGACTAGGGTGCCTACACTAAAACCAACTGATTGTTAAAAAAATACATGGAACCACATCGAAACAACAAGAAGCGAGTGCAAATAAGTCATACGGTTTATGCAAATCCATGACAAAGGCATTGAATACAGAGCGCTTTTTCAGAAGACATCGCTACAAGTCGTTCATCATGCCTCGGATTAACATTAAAGGGGGTGTTTGGAGGAACACTGAGGTAAACTTTTGGATATTAAGTTACTTTTAAGGATGAAATTCTCAAAGCTGCTGTTATGAAATATGGCAAGAATCAGTGGGCACGGATAGCTTCTTTGCTACACCGCAAAGCCGCTAAGCAGTGTAAAGCTAGGTGGTACGAATGGCTTGATCCCAGTGTCAAGAAAACAGAATGGAGCCGTGAAGAAGACGAAAAGTTACTACACCTTGCAAAGCTTATGCCAACTCAATGGCGAACAATTGCTCCGATTGTTGGGAGGACTGCAAATCAATGTTTGGAACGCTATGAATATCTTTTGTAACTCATAATTTCATTATTATTTTAAAATCAAGGGACAAAGCACAAAACAGAGAAGGGTTGTCCGCAGAGGAGGATCCTAAACGCCTCCGCCCTGGCGAAATCGATCCAAATCCGGAGACTAAACCTGCCCGTCCAGATCCTGTTGATATGGATGAAGATGAATTAGAAATGCTTTCAGAAGCTAGAGCACGGTTAGCCAATACACAGGTCGGTTGATTTCTATGTTTCTATACTTCACTTCCGTAAAGTTATTTTAATTCACAAAAATAATATGAATTCGTTTCATTGTCAGGGTTCTTTCTGTTTGTGATTTTTTTCAACTGAATTTCTCTCATAATATACTACGCTCATCCACCGATTCTCGATCATTTAATTATTTTTTGATTATATTCACCTATTCGAAATTTCATCCACTTATGTGGTTCTTAATTTCTTTTAGTCCTCATTTGTACCAATATGTGTTCAAGTAAATAAAAGAAAACTAGGGTTTACATGAACTTCTACATTCGACATGCTTACAGAGTTCGTCTTGGTTGATTGTTGGACACTATAAATAGATCCAAATAAGTTATCCAAACTCGAGTCAGACAACGATTAATTTATTGCGTTACAGTATTCGCAATTTATTTGGTGATTCTTTGAAACTTATATTAGCCAAGCAGTTTTACTTTTCAGCATGCTATTTCACTTGTATTTATCTGTTTATAATTGTTTCAGCACAAATCCATTAAGTCTATCCGAACATCCTCGTATTATGCTTGCCATCCTACCATCCATGTTAAGCACTTTTAGTGATGAAACCTCTATACCTGACTGTACTCAGTGGATACTTTCTTCGTGTTTGCATGCCAATAGACTTAAAGTTCGCGTTATTAGGGTGATTCTCATTCTTTGAAAGTGCTCTTATGTCCAGTTCTGTAGAATCAATCGTTCTTGTGTATGTTGGTTCCGATTATTCATTTTCTTTAAGATCAAATTCATGTCTGAAAATCCTTTCACATCTGTTTGCTTATACACTTTACATTTGAACGACGTAAGAATTTATTTGACTCTTCATTTACTTATTCTTTGTGATCTTAGGGTAAAAAAGCAAAGCGCAAAGCTAGAGAACGTCAGCTTGAGATTGCGCGAAGAATGGCTATGATGCAAAAGCGTCGAGAACTTCGAGCAGCTGGTCTAGGAACATTCTTAGGATTAGCACCGAAAACGAAGCCATGCATGGATTATAATTCCGAAATTCCATTTGAGAAGCAACCTCCTAAAGGGTTTTATGATACTAGTAGGGAAAAACCAGAAATCAAACCTATGGACTTTCAACGTTTAAGACTTTCAGATATCGAAAAAGAAAGTTTCATGGAGAGGGAAAAGGTAAGTCTTCACATTGTTTTCGTTTTTGGATTATGTATTTCGATAACTTACTCTGTTTCTAATACCATTTTTTCATATCTCTATATCAAAATGTTATTCTCGGGTAATTTATATCAAATTCACATTCATAATACGGCCGTTTCGTGCTTGTGTGTTGGGAGTTTTACCAAGTTTTTTGCTTAAGGTCAATCAAATTGTTTCTGAAGTGTTCTGTCTATCATTTTAGCTTCCTGCTTTGAGATTAGGTCACTGACTTGTCTCTCACTAACTGCTAAGTCCTTACGATTGACCACTTACTACTTGTTAACTAATCGTTCCCGCTTTCCTCCTTTTTGTATCTCGTCTATGATTCTCCATTACAATTGTGTTAACATCTTCCCTCTATTTTCTGTTATTTTGCTGCTAAAAAAGTTTCCAACTACTTATGAACTCAAAAGAGGTTATGGAAATTCATTAGACTTTCCCAATTTATTTTAGTGTTAACAAGTACGAATTCGGTTTCTGAAGATTTCTTCGTAACTCAAGACAGGTATTTTGTTATATACAGTACTAAAATGTATTACGTTAGCCAGAAGGGCAAAACCCCATCAGGACCGATTTTAAATAACATCAAATAAGTTGGCTAACCATTTGTATAATTCCTCGAGATTCGGTTGTTTTATTTACGTAGGGCCCAAATAGTCGTCATTAACTTGGTACGTTGGTATGAGAAATTTAATTCTTCATTTGAATAATTAAGTGGTTGTCAGTAATTTGTTTTATCATGTGACGTAACTGTTGATTCGAGTATTACAGTTTAATCTATCTATCTATGTACAACTGACACCAAATTCGTCAAATTTCACGATCTATGCTATACTAGTAAACTGCTACTTTTAAATCAAAAACGAAAATCTCACATTTCAGTAATTTTGATACTTTTCAGCGTGAACGTAAAAAGGATGCTGAACGCCAGGCTAAACGTATGCAATCTGATTTACCTGGAGTTATTTTGCAACGTGGGAATTCTTTGGATGAGCCAATGTTAAAACGATCTAAACTTGTACTTCCTGCTCCTCAAGTATCTGACCTGGAATTGGAAAATTTAATCAAAGTATGTTTCAAATGGTTTTGTGGTAGTGAAACAATAACATTGGACTTATAATACTAAAAACCAGCATAAATTTAAATTAAAAAGGAGAAAACTGGAGCATTGTATCCGCGTTTATCGTCAACTACTAAACGATGGTCATTTACACAAAATTTTGACTAATTTTACATTAATCTACTTTTTCAACTCTTACAGTAGCTTAAAGCTTTTTCGGCCTTTTGAGTTTAGTACTGATTTGCAGTTCATATTTTTCCTACAATCTACTAAGTTATCAAAAAGTCGACCACTCATAGTTATATTTTTCGTTACATAGTTTAGAGTTGAATATTAATACGCCAGCCTATCAACTTTTATTTTACATAATTTGATCATTTTACGTGTCACTAATTGAGGAGTTAATTGATTTTGTTGCTCGTTTGGTAAATAGGGTTTACGACTACCAAGATTTACTTTTTCGATCTGTGTTTTCTTTACCACGCAAGTTTTCCTTTTTTTTCAAATGGTAATTCCTTTCTATAAATATCTGTCGGAGTATCCTAATAGAAAATGTAGTAGAATAAAATAAATACGCCTGTATCCTCAAATACCACTTTCCTCTGACAACTTATTTGGGCCTTAATCTACTTAATTTGTTTTACCCGTTTTTTCTTCTAAGTTTATGGATATAATTGGTTAAGGCAAACAAATCTCGATTACTGGGTTACCAGTTCGAGATTATTATGGTGTTGTCGACGGGTTGCGTGGTGATAGTATCATTAGCATTGAAATACAGAAAGTAACTCGAAGCCATATATATATATATATATATATATATATATATATATATTCTGTACTTTGTCTACTTGAATTTTATTCGTGTTTGGTGTTCCAACACTTAGGTCTATTATTAACTGAATAGGTTGCGCAACTTCTAAGAAAGTACTTAACGAGATAATAGATTCTTAGTGTCAGAAAAGATTAATTAGCTATCAGTATGTCACAAAAGAAATCACCCACAATTATGTCGAATTAACTAAAGTGGATACTATTTTGCAAACTCAAATGATTAAAAATTTGGTTTCTTATTTTTAACATTATTTATTGGATTTCCATTCTTATCGTTCTATTGTGATTGGGGAAAAGGGAAATTAGAAATAATCTGTCTGCAACATAACAATAAATCAATTAGAGTTTGATTGGAAACTACATTTCTCTCCCCTTGTTCGAACGTCCCATGCCTATGGCCACTGGTACAAATTGGGACTTTCCTTCAACTTAATCTGAATAAATTTTATATTTTTAAAATGAAAGGAAACAACACTGATAGACAAAATGTAATGTTACGATGCCGTCGAGTGGTGACTGCCCGCAAAACTAACTCTGATATAAACATCTAATGAGCTGATATTAGAAAAATACTTATTCAGTAGATGAGATTTTTCTCCAAACAAGATGACATTATATACATAATACATAAAATAGTTATAAACATAATTAGAAATCACTCAACAAGTAACGTATTGGATGACACACCAATTATAGATCATCCCCTCTCCCATGGAATTAATGCTTAATTATTACCCCGTCATCTATCTTTTTTGTTTTATTATTGTTATTACTCGTTTATTTGAATCGTCCTACGAAAAACTATTAGGTTGGTCAAGCCGGTGAAAATGCCGTAAGAATGGCTATTGAAGATGCTGATGGTGAATTGGGCTCTGCAACACATCCTCTTTTACCGGAATATCCTACCGGTAGTTTTGCAACACCTGCGTTAAATCTTCAACGCACTCCAATGGCTGTGATAGATTCTGTGACTAGAGTAAGTTTTTGTTCCGATTTTTGTATATTTTGACGCACTTAAGTTCTGGCACAGCTTGTACCTAACAAAGGTATGCACCACACAAATAAGATAATGTCGAGAAAAATATAAGGGATGGAATCGGGGTACCATAACAAAAATGAATGAACAAGAATAGTTTTTCTAAAAATACAACTTAAAGGATTTCTTTCAATTTAAGAAGTTTATCTCACTTTTACTAGGAATGTAAAGTGGAATTTTCATGGGATCCCCACTAGCTTCTAATCTGAGCCACATTTAATTATGTTTTAAGCCATTGAGTTACACTATCTCTAAGTCCTCAGTCAGTAAGGTAGTCCTAACGAATCAACTAGTACCAATCCTATATAGCCCTCTTTTATACTACGGTGCCATGTCATAAACTGACCTTATCCTCTTACTTTCGTCACAAAACACCCCTGCCGCGCGAACGGAGTGAGTAAAGCTTATTTGTCAGACTTTGTGTGAAGACGTTTCAAGAGCAGTGGAAAAAGACCCCAACCCTCGGTCCTTCCAAGGCATCTAGGGGCTAGGTAAGATAAATTCCTTAGTATGTTCTAAACTCTTTATTTTCAACACATACAGTTAGTAATTATTCATGTAAAGTAATCTGTGCTGAGTGCATAAAGATCACTTCTCTTGAATGGCTATTATTAAGTTCTTCGCATTAAAAGAGTACGGATGAGATAACAGTGTATGACAACTACTACCAAAATAGTAATCAAGATCCCTAGCGCTGTTCATACAGTGGTTGATTGGAGCGGAAATTGTAGTCCTTCGACTACATTTGGGTGGTTAATCCTGGTTTAGTAGGTCATCTAACAACGAATAGGCAAGTTTTAATTAGGATCCAATCAATTAATGCTGCCCCAGCTTCAGCACTTAGTGCAAGACCAGCTCCAGCAAAACCAGACGAAGATGCCATAGAGTTCCCGGATAAACGCACATGAAACAAACTTTTTCAGTAGAAAGATGGAGAGTGAATGTGTCGTACTTCGTTTGAGTCTTCAATACTAGTCTTGGATAGAAAACAGATATCAATGTTGAGACTTAACTACACACCCAAGCCTATCTGTTGTGCAATCTGCATTGGTGTACGGACGCTATAAGAGGTCATTTTGAATTGCATACATGGTTTCCGAAAGTCTCATTCATAATTCGTGTTTGGTTGTAGCATTCAACTTTCGACCAGTCAGTAACTTAAAATATCAAGTTGAATTCCCCCTGACCAGCTAATATTTTCAATCATTTGTTATAATTTTTTCAGTCGCAGATATAAATAACTCATTCTAAATCACTTAGTCATCTCGGTCATACGCAACGTAGAACTTGGAATGTATGTGCATCAATACAAGTTACTACACAAAATAAACCCAGTGAAATGAAATTATCAAGTCAAATGTCAGAGTTGTAGAAATATTAACAATATCCATAGTAGTAGAAACTAATCAGTATAGAGGAAACGAATGTTAGGAGATTTTGGAAATCAAGATATTAGGGGAGACAAACGATGAAAACCTCTGCGTCATTGTAATTAATTCTGAACCATGTCATCCAACATCTCCAACCGCTGGTTACGATAATCGCTAATCAGAGGTTGTTCACAGTACTCTTTTCTTTAAAATAACAAAATTGTCATCATATTAACACGTTTTTTCATGTTTATATTGGTTAATTTTAAAGTGTTGCGTTTATACTAGAAACCGTCATCTAAATTGATTTGGGTTTATTTTAGAAAAAAATATTACAACTCAGGAAACAGAATATACATGTAAACGAAGCACAATACATATGGTAAATATTAACTAGATCTAAAGCGTGTGTAATTCACTTTCGTTCCAATTAAGTACTGATATGGTAATTTGAACTAATTCACATACGTGACAGGTTGTTGATGTCTGAGTGGCTAACTTTTGATCAAGAAAGTGCGGAATTAATTTGAAGTAAAATAAAACGACTATGTGAATTGTTTTTTTTTTCCTGAATGTTGCAACCTAATTTAACTTATCACTTCATAGGCTTATATTTGTAAATCTTATTCATGAAAATTATGTATATTCTCATAATATTTTTCTTACTTGAATGTTCATCAAATTTTCTATTTTTTTATATCATTATTATTAAAACTTTTTGGTTACCAGGAAGCACAAAATATTTTAGCTTTGCAACAAGTTCAAACTCCTCTTAAAGGTGGTGAAAATACTCCATTAGTTGGTGAATCTGATTTTTCTGGTACAACACCTCGTTTACCAAATACTCTAGCAACTCCGAATGTTTTACTTCCTAGTCAAATAGTTGGTGCTACTCCATTTCGTACACCGAACAGCAATATTGAAAATGGTATGTTGTGTTTGCTTTTTTTTGTTGTTTTACCTTTCTCTTCAGAATTTCACTCTTATTTATGCTCATTTTTTTTTCTCCCAATTTTAAGGAAATTGATATTCTATCTCATTCTATCTAATTATTATTTTATTTAGAAAAAAAGGCCGCTGCTTAACAATTTACCTATGAGCTTCATTTTTTTAACATATATTTATTTACGAAGTTAATAGAAGAACCATGGTTTATAAAAAGTTATTTGAAGGCTTGTTGTGAACTTAATTAATCAATGATGAGTTTTCAGGACATATCTTGTTTCGTTTGTTTTTCTCACGTTCATATCTATTTTATGAACAAACAGATCTACCAGGTTTTTATTGTATCCACTCGAAAATAATTGAATTGACTTTAACTAGTTTAATTTTCTTTAAGTTATTAAAGACAGAAATGTTGAAATTTTGAAAGTAATCTTGTTGTGGTGTGCCAAAGAACCCATCTATTATTGTTTCATTTCAAACTAGTGCATATATACTCTGCTAACAGAATTGATATTTCAGATTTTAAATAAAAGCTCCGGTACGGCCGAAGGGGAGGAGAATCCGCTGTCTATCTCGAAATGCTCTCAGATGGCCACGCGTATACGTCCACTGCCAGGGAAGTCCTACTTACTGTCTTCTCGTGGCGAGGGTGTTGTTTACGAAATTGAGGGGATAAAAAGCGAATGTCTGGGTTTGGTTGTTGGGCACAGAGGGTCCTAAGGAGTTGGAAAACACTGATTCTGAACCAATGGTGCAAATGGGCCCCAGTATCCTGAGGGAAAAAAGCTTATAAACCTGTTGTTGGTCACCGACTACCATGGTACTAAATTTCCTGACGTTGCTCTTCTGCCTTGTGGATTAGAGCTCTAGATCAAAGACCCAGGAAGTAGCTCCCTAACAAAACCATCTACTTCGGTTTGGTCTCCCGGTTAGCATCTCAGCCCTCACACAAATCTGATGGTTTGTTTGGCACATGTATATTTAATGCCCCCTTGTGCCAGTGTTTACGCGTTTAAATAATAATAAACATTGGGTTTAATCACTCAGCATTCAGCCTTTGAGTAGGAGATTCACTTCAGTCGGTTAGTATCATTAAATTTTTTACACTTTAGACATGGCTCTCAGTTAAATACTCAACTGAATTAACTCAATTATCAAGCATAGATATGTGTACTTACCTTCAAGCAAGGTTGTTATTATTACCGGGCTACTGAAACGCAGTTAGATGTGATTTCGAACCTATGACCTTATGACTGACGTTCGATCAGCTTAACCACTGAGCTACCACTTCTGAATAATATTAATTTATTATGGGTGTATGCTTTAAGATCCTCATCATATGTAAGAAAAGTAGCTTGTTATTTCTCTGAACCATACTTATTTCCCTGCTTTTTATGGTCAATATTATGAAATGTTCCTAACAGATTGATCCTAGTGTTCAAAATTTTCCATATGTGAATGATGTCGTTGCGCAAATAATTTATTCCGTCAAAATAGAAGTGATCGTCAATTTTCATTCAAGCTGTATACTTATTTTATTGTCGTAGATTCTTATTGTACTATGTTTAATTGTATTGTATCCTAAATTTATACTACCCTATCCAGAGAATACACAAATTGATCTAAAAAGATTTTAAGTGAAATTTAGAGAGAATGTATAAAGGGCTCATGAAATGTTAAAGTTTGTCTACAGCATTGTGGAAAATAGTACTTTTCAAGTGGATGAGATGTTTCAGTTAAAGACGTGTGATAACTGAAATGATGATCCGAGGCTAGAATGACTAACATCCTCTTCTATTAATGAAAATATTAAAGATTTACTATTTGTTATGCTTTTTTAACCGCTTATTCACTGTTTCAGTGATTGCTAATAAAACTAACTTCGGAAAGTTGTCTGTTTATATGATCTTGAAGTAATGTTAAATAGTCTGATTTTTGAGGACTTTCAGAAATCCTGTTAATTATTACATTTAAGGTGGGATAAATGTATTCCTTGTAGTATTACTTGATGAATGAGTATATAGTGTGGAAAAGCGTCTTACAACTGCTTAGAAGGTTAGTGCAAATGTGTAGTATACTGAAATTGAATAACTAAATTTTAGTTAACATAATAAACTGTAAATCATGCATTCTATTACTAAAAACTAACAACACTAGTTGATAATTATCTAGGATTCCAATTTGAATGTACAAACCTTTTAATATTTTATTAGTAAATAAAGTTTCAGTTTTGTGGTGATAAAGTGGATTATCTTGATACACCCAAAAATTTTATTCTCATCTCATTGCATAGTAACATGATATATCACTGACATAGTTATGCAATGAATGTCATCAATACTGATAATCAGTTTATATATATATATATATATCCTGCAGTGTTGAGTTTTATGTAGATCAAAATAGAATTTCGTTTCACTTAGGTGAAGTTTTGTTCTCTGGGCTTGATGGTTAGTTCTACCTGAAGTTTATGCTGATAATGTTGTTCAGAAGAACAATGAAAGCTCCACAACCAGACGATCCAGCTCAGATAACAAAATTCCATATTAATCATTCAGCTGAGCTACAAATCTTCACCATCTCAAATCTCGTCTTATGTTTATTCGAAACACTGACAAAATCTAAAATCATTTGAGATTCAACAAATATGTACGAATATATAAAATATCGCATGTTTCAAATGGTTAGCATTAATGTTTAATAAATAACCCTTATAGTATTTAAGTGCATTAAACATACCTCACTTTAAGAAAATTGAGTCATATGAAATGTATGATTATTTTAATATAATTAATAAGATATTTAAATGTCTACTGAATCTTTTGTATTCTACTCAATAATGTTCTATATTTTTAATTCGTGGTTATAATATAGACTGGATCAATTGAATTTTCAAGTATCATAGATTTTCAATCATTGATAATATTATCATAGGACCACTGATTGAACATTGAGTTTTATGAAAGAAAGATAAATTAGTTGACATAATTATAAATTGAATGTGAATTATTTGTCTGGGATATTTAGTTGAGTTCATTATTGTATGAACTATTTGGAAAAAGAAAACGACGAGACTATAATTTATGGACAAACCCATCAGATATAAGATAATAGGTCTTGGATTTTGGCATGAAATTCATTCACTTATTTGGTTAAATGGAGTTTTGGCACTATAGCTAATGTCAGTTCGTTATGAAAGCCCTAAATCTAATGCCAAACCTTAACCCTATCAACTGTAAATCATAATTCTAATTCTTCACACAGGTTTATAACCCTCATTTGGTTCTAGTTATTAGGTGGACACTCTCAAGGTCAGTTTATCGTCACTCAAAGGTCGTCCATAAATTATAGTCTCACCAAAATAACTAAAGATAGATCAATTTATACGTTTTGAGTAGTATAGAAAACTTGTGGCTTTCTAAATTTAGTTCTCAATGTGTTGTTAATCAGTAATTGTAGAGCCTAGTTGATAGAACTTCAATAACAGTTCTCAGTAGGACATTTGTATTCATTCAATATTTCTTTATGTCATGTTCATCTTCTCGTCCTATACTTGTTAGAAGTTGTATTCCTCTGTCTACTAGTCCCACTTTTTTCATAATTTGTTTTCCGTTTTATTCTATCATAAAAAATATTTTTTAGGCACTCCAAATCTTCTCATGGGTGGTGATGCTAATAATACACCTGGTCCACTAAGAAAAGGTGAACAAAATTATGGTCCTCCAATGTCAAATACACCACTAAGAAACCGTTTGAATATAAATCCAATCGATGGAAATAATTTAGATGGTCTTAACAATAATCATTCCGAAGGTATGGTAGACTATTATGATCAAAATGGTGTAAAAACAAATCTACGCAAAAGTTTGGCTAATCTACCAACACCGAAGAATAATTTCGAAATATTTCTCCCTGATGAAACTAAACCTAACGGTGATGATGCCGATGATAATGATGTTGAAGGTGTTAACGTAGATATGGATCAATTGGAAGAAGAGAGGGGAACTGCTTCAAGAATTCCAGATCAGTCAGATTTAGATAGGCAATCTGAAAGAGAACGTGCTAAAGCCGCTGAATTGGAATGGTCTAAACGAAGTCAAGTTGTTAGACGATCTTTACCTAGACCATCAGCTGTGAACCATACAATTTTGCGTAATATTCCAGGTTCAGTCAACCAACTATCACAACAAGATGCGAATATGACAGATTTACAAAAGGTATTGTTAAAATGGTTTTCTTTTGCGTACACTATAAAATCGTTAAAGTACATCTAGATATTAATCAACCCTATAGTCAATATGTTAGTACTATTTATCCAGTTTATTGTTTCAGGTGTAGGTTTTGTCACTGGTTTTTGAGCTTCTTCTGTGTGACTCACCTCAAACTTTCAGGAAATCTATATTTGACAACCTCTTCAGTAGGTTAAGTCATTCTTTGTTAACGAATATAGTAAAGCTTGAATTCTAGCTACGCCAGTTGTGTTATAATTTTATGGTTTACATTATAAAATGACCTTACTTTGACAACCAGGAAGAATTGGATAGCTGTTTCGTCCTAAAACAGTATTCCTCAGTGATCAGCATCCATAGTCCCACTGGTGATCAAGTCCAAAACCTTCAGGTCTCGCGACAAGTCCTTAACCTTCAGACCATTCAGTCAATATTAAACTGTTTGTATTTCTAACTTCAATCAATTAGTGATACTTTGCAACCATATTCCAGTGCCATTTGTGGGTAACCTGCTCACTGCTAACATGGTTGAATGGGAATGGCCACAACTTCTCACTCGAACCCCAGGAATTGCATCGGTAAACTAGTAATCAACAAACATATAATTAATACCAATATAATAATAATCTTTTGCTTAAGTAATCTACTAAATTAGTTGTTAATATGCATCAATCAACCATCGTCCGCAGAGCACTAACACTTAATTTATCATAGTATTAGTAGTTTTTGTAAATAACACTACATGTAGATTAATTGAATTCATAGTAAAATTCTTACATGTAGGTTGTATTCGTTGTAGATTGATTTGAGTTGGAGTAAGATTAGAAACCATGGAGCACCGGTTAACTCGCTAGTGACTTACGTCATGATACTTCAGAAGTTGTAGTGATTTGTGACTGGTGATAGAGTTCAGACATGTCGCGGGGGGGGGTCAGTTGTTGCTAGTGGGATTAAATGTTCATTATGCTTTATCGCAGATTGGTTAAAGTTAGAATTGTACTATTCAACAATGACCCAGTGGTCCCAATGGTTAAGTTTTCAATGCGAGACGCGAATGTCATGAGTTCCATCATTGGATTGAGTTATGAATACTCACAGGTGCGTAGTCTCATGTTCGGATATTTTGGCTGTCCAGTAAATGTTCCCTAGTCTTCACTGTTACTCTAAGATCAGTCTGTGGTGAATACAATTTACAAGCTGATTTAGCTGAAATTGTTATCTGTATATCATATTCACTTTTTATCTGTTGTAACAAAAACTGTCACATGTAACGATAGTAACTACAATAATTATGGATCCATTATTGTAATTTAGATAATTTTTAGTGTATTCATCTTAAGTAAAATTAGTTCATCCTATTTCTAAAAAGTTGAAAATGGACAATAACCGATTATGGTTTAGAAATTGGAATATAATAGTAGAAGGAAGTAGTGTTAAGGTCACGGAAGGATGAGACATTGCAAGTGTTATTTTTGTACGTCAAGTTCAGGCTTTTGTACTAATGAGTTACTAACACTTTAGCAGGGCACAATTAAAAAAAAATATTTAACCTTCCTTTAATTTCACTCGTTTAACCATATAGCTGATTTTTAAAGGATTATTTTTAGGGGACAACGTACACAGAGTTATTGATTTGTTCTTGTATTGATCTATTTATTGGTTGTTTTCCAGTCTCCTTTAAAAATTCCACGCCAGGTAATGTTCTGAGGTGCGTTTGCAAGACGCTTACTTTGTTCAGCCAATGTAATTTAACCTATAAGAGCAAGTAAACTTACAGATACATATCCGATGTTGACTAATTGACTGATTGATACTCTCATCACTTCTACTTCTCCGGGATTTGCCTAGATATTTCTGTCTTCCTATGCTGATGTGTTGCATAGCAGCTTAAACCGATGCATCTGTATCTGATTCTACACTACTTACTAAAAACTGACTGTGCTTTCCATTCTTTTTGGTAAAATGTTTTTTTTTTCACTCTCATTATTAGGCTGAAGAATTGATTAAACAAGAAATGGTAACAATGATGCATTATGATAATTTAAACAACCCACCACCAAATCAATTGTTGGATGCAGCTAAACAAACTACTGGTCCAAGTGGTAGCAGTGGTGTTGCTCCAGCTAGTCAACAACGACGTTATTTACAACAGATGAAAGCTACACATGAAAGCTTTTTGAAAGATTGTCCATATGAACAGTTTGTTCCGGATGATTTGAAAATGGTACGTTGTTTATATCTGTGTGTATGTGGCATTTTTAAATGTTTTTTTTTGTATTTAACGTGATAATTTTGTTTGTCAAGTGCTGCTAGAAGTATGTAGGTAGTTGTTACATCTTGGCTGTCCACAATGAGGGAGGATACTCGTTTAGATACGTGAAAAGTATGCTAGATTAATAATGATCTTGTGGAATAGGAAGCGTAACGGACAATTACTTAAGGCATGAAACATATGGACCTTGTGTGAGTTTTTGGTTTGTTAGCTCTGTACTTTAAAGGCTTATCGCCAGAAACACGAACCTGCAGGGAAAAGTGACATGTTCCATATTCAGGTGCTATCTTTTCAATTCTCTTTTTTCATGGTAGGTAGACACCATTTCTTCAAATGTTAGTTGTATAATGAAACCATTTTACTACCATGATACCACAGTATAACTTCATTCTCAAATCTTGAGTCTGTTACTTTTAGTCTTACTTTCCTCCAAATAATCTACCTGGCATGATAGGAATGATAGGAACAAGTATTTTTTTGGCTAATATGACTTAATTAGGTTGTCAGGAGACGAAATCCCAACCACTCCCTCAAGGTATCAGCTATGGTTAGCTTATTGATGTTAAATACGTAGGTTGAATGCCGAAAATTGGTTATATATTTCGAGATACTTTTTGCTTTAATAAGTCTTAATACGAAATTTTTTAAGTTCATTTACCTCCCAAATTGATTCACGTTAGAAACCAATAGAAAACGAGAGTATTGAACGTGTTTCGTTGTAGTATATGAGACTCCTCACTTATGAATATTCGCTACTCCTTACCTAAAGTTGGATTAGTGACCTTCAAGTGTCACCCTATATCTTCGTAGTTTTAGATGTTCGTTTGACGATTTTGATTGGAAACTGAAAAAATTCCAAACCAAATGAAGGTGTTCCTATTATATTTCTGCTTTTTATTCCATACTACTGATTGATTTTGTAAGTAGCTTATAATGCAGTAGTAATATTTTAAATCAATTACAGGCGGAGAATTTATTGGAAGAGGAAATGCATGTCGTTCGAAATGGTATGGGACATGGTGAATTATCAGCTGAAGCATATGCTAAAGTTTGGCATGAGTGTTTAAGCCAAGTTTTATATTTGCCAGCACATAGACGTTATACACGAGCTAACTTAGTAACAAAACGTGATCGGATTGAATCACACGAAAAACGATTGGATCAACTTCGTCATCTTATGGCTGAAGAAGCTAAACGAGCAGCAAAACTGGAGAAGAAACTCAGGATATTGTTAGGTGGATATCAGGTAATCTGTAATGTACAACGTTTTAAAAATTACCTTGAACCTAGTAAATTTATTGACCAAGTTGTTTCAAACTTTCTGTCATTTGTATATATGTGTGCAAAAAATGAGTGTACATTTTCTCAAGAATTTATTAGATTTTCCAAGGTATTCACCCGCCGAAAATAAGTTCGGAGATCTAATGTTTTGTTATATTTATGGAATGACTTGATGAAATGTAGTTGCATAACCTTACACACTGTCGCTCGTTGTTAGTATACTTGTGAATATAGTATGCATTGTGCTTGGTTGATGAACATGTACGTAAAGAAAGCATCTTCAACCACTAATGCCTACAAAGAAGTAATTTGGCAAACAATGTTACCCATCTCATGGAATTATATATAGCCTCTGGTTTCGGAAGCTTTCTGAATAAATAATCGTTATTATACTTAACACGTAACTTATGTGTGCTTCATAATAGATCTAAGCATAACTTTATTTTTAGATTGTACTCATCACAGGTTGATCTCAGTTAGAGTATTATTAAAAAATGGAAAACACTATGCAGCTGTTTCTTCTTGTTACGGGACTCTGTAGTACATTGCATCCGCAATCCTATCAGGGATCAAATCCAAAACCTTTATGTCTCACAGCAAACTTTTGACCACAAAGTCACTGGTTTAGTGCTCACTGATACACTTACAACTTCAATTAATTTGCAATAAAGCACAACGACTATTCAATGTTATCAGTGATAATTGTTTCACTTTAAACACGTTTGAACTCTGTCAGTCACAATTTTGTTCTACGAACTAATTCTATCTTCCTGTACTATCTCCTTATACACCCTCTTTCTTCTATATATTGCCACCACTGAATTAACTACTTCTATGAATCCGGTGTTCATCTTGTTGTGCTAATGCGGTATGGCAACTTGGACCGATGCATATACGTGCCTGGTCCTACGTTGCAGCTGACTGACTGACTGAGTCACAATTTTACTTACTGTATATTTCTCAGTTATCAGTAGACGGCTCTCCAGTTCTGTTTTATAAACTCAAGATTTAATAATCCTTTTTTATTTCATATCCTATTCAATAAAATAACTAAATCACATTTCTCTTACTATCTATTATTAGTCACGTGCACAAACCTTAATGAAAGCCATTGAAGAAAGTGTCGATCAAATTGAACAAAGTCAAATGGAATTAACCACATATGAACGACTTCATGAGCAAGAATTATGCGCTATCGCTAGACGTTCTGATGTAAGTAGCATGTTTTTTTTTGTAGTCAGAAAACGATTGAAATTATGAAAAGTTTTTATTCCTATATCAATTACTTTCAATATATTTATTTAATTTTTCAGGTTTTAGAAGCTGATGTTGAACGTCAACAAAAACGAAATGCTGATCTTCAACGAGAGTATGGTAGATTAATTCGTATTCGTGAAGAACGTGAAGCAGACGCTTTCTTAGCTAGTAATATGGATTTAATTAGTAATGATGGTGGTGGTGGTAAAGATGATGGCGATACATCAATATCGGTCACCGCTAGTGGTGATGTCACATCTATCTCAACGGATATACATAATCAATCTAATACTGAATCATCACAAGCACAAAAACAAACAATGGTATATGGAAATAAAAATATAGTATCAGGCAAGTGGATTGCTGTGACACAGATTGAAAATAGAGAAGATCCTGATCAACCGATGTTGTTATCCAATGGAGAGATTCCTACAAAGTCTCTGTAAGTCTGTGGGATTTTTTTCTTTGGTACTACTTTAAATGTATTAGTAGCTCTTTTTTTTGAATGTGCTGTATTATGTATGAATACTTTATTGTCAAGTCTACTCTTATAACTTTTATTCGATTAATATTATGAAATTAATCGAATCTCTAGACAACTCGGTAACAATGTAATATTTTCTTGTAATTTTTTTCATGATGAGTGAATTAAAGTCTCCATTGAATAATGTAATCAAAGAAACACCACAAGTGAATAGAAATATGATACAATAGTTGGAAAACATGTCATATATATTCAAAGTTAGTGAATTAGACAGTCATAAGCGATTTAAAACCTGAAACACGTATACATTGGTTCAAGCTTTCATATAACATTAGCACAATAAGGGAACTAATACTTAGATAGGGATAAATGATTTATTATTTAATGCGCAATCACATAATGGTTTGGTAAAGTGTGAAAATGCATCGTTTGTACATCTTTCAGGTGTCCTTTACATTCCTCATGATTCTTCCGATTCCTTTCTATTTTCCTTCTTCCTTGTCTTAATTTCAATCTTCTTTTGACAAGCCATCCACTTCTGTTTGGTGGTGCATACTACTTTTATCGACATACTTAAGTACTATACATCACAGAATTAGTGGTAATGGAAACGATTAAGCATCCATGGTGCAATTCATGAAAAAAACATAAATTAGGGAAACAAAAAATCATTGGGAAGTCAAAAGCTTAGAATTTTTGCGGAAGAATAAGAGTGGTTTCACATGGTCCATTGCAAACGATTTTGAGCCATGTCGTTCAAAGTTTCTAACCATTAGTTACAATAATCATGCGAACCACAACCAGGTAGTACGCACCCAAGTATATAACTTGATCCAACCGTCATTGTTTTCATGGACTGATGCGACGTCTTGGTTAGGCCGTCTCTATCTTCCAACCTATTCCCATACCAGACAACATAGCGCGTCGTGGTAGGTTATGGTTAACACATGCACAATCTGACAGACTGTATAGAACGGATTCGTTCTACTAACTGTTTTTAGTCGAATTCCTGCATGAATACATATATAACTACTTATATTCATTATTTATTTCTACAAGATCATCATCGAGAGTCAGTAAATACAAACATTAAATTCACTTGATATTGTTTACGTAAATCTTCCCATTGATGTTTAGGACTGCGATTGATTGCCCCCAAATGCCCTGGTACGGCCGAGAGTGGGAAGAGTCCGCTCTCCCTCTCGAAATGCTCTCATATGGCCACGCGTATATAGCCTCTGCCAGGGAAGTCCTACTCACTGCCTTCACGTGGCGGGGGTGTTGTTTACGAAATCGAGAGGACGAAAAGTGAATGTCCGGTGCTTTAGCCGTGTTAATGGACACGGAGAGTCCACCTAGAGGAGTTGGAACATCCTGATTCCAAACCAATGTTGCACATGGGCCCCAGTATCCTGAGCGAAAAAATGGTGTATGAACCAATCGTTGGTCACCGGCTAACATGGGACTGCATCTCCTTACGATGCTCCACTGCCTTGTGGATCAGACGTTCAGGTCGAAGGCTTGGAATCCAAAACTCACTTTTGTCCTATTTAGGACTCGTCAGCCGGATTTAACTGCTTTTCAAAATCGGTGCTTACTCTGGGACTCGAACTTATTACAGTTTTCTTCAAACGCCATCGCGTTATCCATTTAGCTACTGAGTCCTGATAGCTACTTGATTGTGGAATGGGGTGAAGTCGTCGCACATATTATATCACCTCCGAAAGTCATATATAGATTACAATATTTTGATTATAGGTATTTTCAAAATATTTTTTGGGTACCCTTAACAAACGAGTAGGGAATATTGAGATTGGAGTATAGTAGGCAAATATGGTGAATCAGTTGATTAGATTGTGGATTGGACATGTGTTAGTTATGCCTAGCGACTTACTGTTTCTGCTTCAAATGGTATCCAGAATGGGAATATAAGTTGAAAGACAACTAAGGGCGGTCAAATTAAGTCATACTATCAGCTTATGAGGTCATTGACTAATTGGTTGGCTTTTGTTGGTATTTTCTAACTACCTGCTCAAGGTCCGCCTTATAATTGTAATCACTGCTTGTAGGTCCCAGTTGACTTAGTTCATAATCACCCACAGAGGCACAGATCTATTTACTCTTTATCCTACTGTAAGCCTTCAGTTTCAATTTTATTTCACACTTTTTATTCCTCAAATTTGTCCGTTCTCTTTGAATTGTATTCTGCAGTGTTAGACCCTTGTGATCATTAATGCTACCGTAAAAAACGACAACTTGAGCAGGGAAAATCAATTTGGATTTGTAAGACTACACACTGTAATTTTCAAATATGAAGTCAATGCACTAAATACACCATATATCTATCTTCCTTAAATTGTCCCTTACAAATTCCATAATTCTTCCATTGTTGTTGCTACTCTGGCTATTCTGTTTTTCCTCTTCTGCCAGTAAGAATTTTACTTTCAATTCCTACTACGTACTACTCATATCCGTCTGTATAAGTAACATACACCACAAGACTATTAGTCTAAACCTTCTTAGCAATTCTAAAGCTAGACGCAGGGTATTGGGTAAGTATGGCAAACCAACTTACGAGATAGTGAGTCTTTATTGACGGAGATGTATTACGGTATTCTTGTCCACCGTCTACCTCTAAGCACAATGATAGCTGATGTAGGAGTAAGTTGAAAGAATGCCATGGACGACGAAAACAAAGCATGGCATCACTCCATGAATTGATTGATAATTGGGCTGAGTCATGGAGATAGGTCCATACTACTTGGCTGTGTTCCGCTTGATTATGGCAACCAAGGGTTAGAAAATGTAAATGACGTGGCTCAGAAGTGTTTTGCTCTGGCTTAGGTGCACCCATTTTTTGTCTTCTCTCAAGTTCTGAGCTTCTGAATTCATAATTTTTCATGATTTCGCTGATTTGTATTTTCTCGACTTGTATCTTGGTTGTTTAATCTTTCTTATTAACAATCATACTATCAATTTTTTTAATACTCTCACCGTTGTTATGGGTTATGGGAACTGGAATCGATATGTACATGTGCCAAGTTCTCCATTGAAACTGACTAACACTAACCTGTAAGCTTTTAAATCAAACATTTGAATGACGAAATATTTAGAATGAGAGAAAGAGATTCACCATGGTATTACAAACTCATTCTTTTTTCTTATTCTTTTTCTTGCCATTTTAGTCATGATTCAAATCATTTCGAACATGATAATAATGATAATCATCTTCACTATACTACTGATGAAAATATTGTATCTCCTTCAAATAACAATGAGAAAACATCGTCTAATGATACAGAATCATTGAATAATATCATGATAGAATCAACAGTAAAGCAACAAACTATTAGTTCACATTAAAATGTTATTTTATCTAATTTCCATGTATACAGAATTGTTTTTGCCTACCTTCCCTCTCTCTCTCTCTCTCTCACACACACACACACTATCTCTCTCTCCCTCTCAATTTGATTTTCATGCTTCCCAAGTGTGTCCTATTCATTTTTTTTTATTTCCCTTCCTTTTGTGTATGAACACTTCAGAATTTTCTATACATTATGCAAAGTTTAAACGAACTAACTAATGGGGATTTGTTTACTGTTTTCTTTATAGATTAGTGAATTATGTATTCATGCTTGTATTGAAAAATAAAGAAAAAAAAGCGTTTCGTTTCATACCATTATATCTATTACTTTCTCTCTCTATCTCTCTCTGCTATTCACTTAATTGTTTGTAAAGAATAATAATAATAAACAACGTAATGATTATAATTATCACTTTTATGTTAACACAGAATTGTGTCTACAAATTAGAATGTGTCGATTGTGGTGCCTTCTAATATTAGAGAGTCATCTAATGAAATATTGACTTGAGCTGAAGAACATCCTAGGTACACAAAGAAACCATCTAATAATCCCATGGTACTGGAAAGATTCCAAATTAAATTAGAAATAGCAGTTCATATTATTTTCATCAACTATCAAATCGATATTAAAAGCATCAAAATAATACAAAACGGCTTTTCCAATTATAAGTAAAGGTGAGTGGCTGAAGCTTTTCATATATTGCTTAATCCTACTGCCCTCAATAAAAAAAGGTCTCACTATCCATCTGACTTAGACCATCTATCTGAGCTATTATATCTGACTCTATTCTTACATTTCACACCATTAACGTACACACAAAGACAACTGTACCCTTTCTCACCACAAATGTCATATATTCCATCTTTTACCATACATACATGCAGATATATAAACATGCCTCATGTAAATCACCTTGACCGGAATGACGTGACACTGACTTACTCAGTGTCATGTAGTTTTTGATTGATCACACCTACTATTCTTTCTTTGTACCTTGATACTATTTAAACTAATTAATTTGATTCAGTTATTTATTCTCTGAAGAAGTGGGTCACACTGAGTCACGAAACGTCAGAAAATTTAACAACATAATTTTTATTTATAACAATCTATCCAATGCTTAATTTATTTGAAATGATCAAGTCAAACCTTGATGATGATACCATAGAATAAGGTTTGCCTAATTGAAGTTATCCTAAATATTTTGATTGTACAATAGCTGTGTTATTTTTGTTTAGTAAATGAAGTATGCATATTCAAGTGTTATTTTCATTTTTAACTTTAACAATTCATTATATTTATGGCTTCCATCCGGTGTACTGCTTTTGTAGCCATATATATATGACTCCAGTTAGATCGTATGCTGATTGTTATCGAAATATACATACTTCCAACCTTCATATATATTCTAGTTAACTTAATTCTCATTAGAGATTAACGGAATAAAATAACTCAAATGCGAGAATGTATTTTGAAATCGTATATTTTATACACACATTGATATGAATAGAAGACACTAACATCTGGTCTGAGGCATGTTGGTAGATGCAGACTACTTGGTTGGGTCTCGCGTGACTGTCGTTACCAATGGTTGGAGACTTTTGGTGACATATCTCAGAATCGGTCACGATGGCGTCGGTGCATCCACTCTGTCTTTCCTTAAAGTAAGAGATTAAAATCGATTCATATCCTTCTACATACTAAATCTTTCTTCCTGTACTATATCCTTATATGCAATCTCTATTTTATATATTACCACCATCGAATTAACTACTATGAATCCTGTGTTCATCTTGTGCTAATGCAGTATGGCAACTTGAACCGATGCATATATGTGCCTGGTCCTACGTTGTAGCTGACTGACTGATGAGTAGACATTCATAGAAACGAAGTGGCACTCAACAGAGAAGGCAAGTGAACTAACTCGTTTTGATCAAGTGTGATACAATATTTATATTCAGACAAATATTAATTACAAACACTGAATGAATAGGGCAGGCAATCAACTCACATACGATCATATAAAAACAGTCAGGATTAATATGCGAATATGTGATAATGAAGTCAAAATATAGCTTGAGAAAAAAATGAATAGAATGGTCTGTCCAGAAGTTAACGTTAATAACCTACGTGGGTTTGACATAATACCAGCCAGTGAAATGCGTTACATTGATATATTCATAGTAGAAAGTTGGTGAAATATTTGAAATTGAATTTTTAATGGAATTTGTGTACACTTCACTATGGATCATTTATCATCCTTTAAATAGGTACCTATGTGACTGAAAATTACTGCTTAAAACACACTTATTAAATATCGTAAATGTTGCGGACAAGCTGGACTATTGATTTTTATGAAAACATGAATTTGTACAGGGGTTTTTTCATTCTAGTTTATGTTTAGATGAATAGGGTTAGTCTTTGAGAAGGGGTATATTATACTATACCATATTGATCTGCACTAATATTTGATATCATAGTAAGTGATAAACTATGTTAATCATTCTACTTACTTTAAAAAGAAATATGATCGACAGAAGTTCATTGTAGCTATGAGAAGCGTAATGGTGATCAATCAGCTTATATATCATTTGTAGCCATGTTCAATTGCATATATGTTTAACGGAAAAAGTTTGAATCAAATAAATTAGTTATGTAACATAAATATAGTATCGTGTGATCGATAGTTCTTGGTGTTTTTCTTTTGTTTAATCAAATTTCGGAATACACTAATTATCAGTTCACTTTACACTTATTATTATTTATTTATTTGAACACAGATATTGGTGTAAGGGGGCACCAAATAGATATGCGCCACATAAATCTTATTTGGTTTGTATGAGGGGTGTAATACTGTCCGGATGCCCAAACCGAAGCACGTGGTTTTCTTAGGGGGCCACACCCGGAGCCTTTGACCCTAAGGTCTGATCCACAAGGTAGTGGAGCATCGTGAGGAGATGCAGTTCCATGGTAGCCAGTGACCAACGATTGGATTATACGTCATTTGTTCCTTCAGGATACTGGAGCCCATGTAGACCGTTGGTTTGGAATCAGGGTTTTCCAACTCCCCTAGGTCGACTCTCTATGTCTACCGACCCGGTTAAAACACCGGACATTCTCTTTTCGTCCTCTCAATTCCGTAAACAATACCCCCGACAAGAGAAGGTAGTGAGTTGGACATTCTTGGCAGAGGCTATATACACGTGGCCATGTGAGAGAATTTCGAGAGGGTGAGCGGACTCTCCCCATTCTCTGCCGTACCAGGGCATTCAGGGGCTTACTTTACAATTATCAAACCAATGACCTTTGCGTGAGTGGTAACATGAGTGAACTAAAGTTCTTTTACTATAGGAAATTGATGAACATTAACTGACTAAGGAATAGAACTCACTATGTATCTGTTCTCACACCAACCCAAGATCAATGTCTTAATGATTCATTAAATATAAAACTCCCTATCACAGAATGTTTACTGTACACCTAATTATGGTTTCAGCCTACATGTCATTAAATGGATAAGTAATGATAATGTTGATATAAAATTAGTTTGTGTACTAATAGATCCAGTTTGCCAAATAAAACTTCCTAATCACTTCTTACTTGCATACAATTGTTGTATAGACGTATGACAAGCGTGTATATTTTAATCGGACATTGTAAATTATATCAGTCGCACCGACTTAAGACTAATAAATATTCAAGAATGGTAATATGATGCAAACTAACTGAAGAGAATAGGAAGAAATATTTTTATATGTAGATAAATACTTGGAATTTGTGATAAAACTGTAGTATCAGTCGTTCAACCATACAAAATTCATAAATATTTGGATATACTTGGACTACTGATATTTCTTAGGTAGTATGACGCGAAAAGTTAGACAAAACTACATATTCCATGCAATCTAACTGTTATATTCTAACGAAGAATAAATGAATGGTAACGGCTAGGAATCACTTGTGGAGTAATATTATACATATATTCTTATTGAATAACTATTAAGTAACTATATTATATGTACATTCATGTCCCTTTTATTATGAGCTTCTATTAGACCTATTGACTACTGTTATATGATTTACTATTCTTAAGTTATGACCAATTTATTAGTAAGAGTTTCTCATAATCCCAGCTACTTTTTTGCTTGATCTTGTACAAATGTTACTTTCTTTATATATGTAAATTATATTTGAAACAATCTCAGCGATTGAAATTTAAAATAATTCCAACGGTTTGTCCAGGCAAGTTGGTTGGACGAAACGTTGGAATTATTTTAAATTTCAATCGCTGAGATTGTTTCAAATATAATTTACATATATAATGACTTCTCTATACTCGGCGCCCAATATCTGTCAAACTATTCGTTCTAATCTTGACGAATATTCGTATAAATGTTACTTTTTGTTTGTGGCGTGATGCGGTCCGGTTTGTTTGTATGTATATAAACCCAGTATATCTAAAATACATTATTCATATTGTGGGAAGCTGAAATTGATATTGTGAACTGAACTGGTCGGGTTAAAATTGAAATTATTATCTCAGTGGACAAATAAAAACTCTAGGCTACTTGTATAGGTTTATGCGTCATTAGTCTGATTGTATAAGTCGGTATTTCTAATTAGCGGTCATATCACGTGACATCATTAATCAAGCATAAGGATATAACAATGAGTATACACGGTAAACTATACATAGATTATACCAAATTACATAATTAATTTTTCTTGGATATATATCATTCTTTTATACAATGATAGTTAACATTTTGTACTGATTACCGTTAATGTTCTGTTGTCATGCTAAAAAGGAAGTGTAATTGTTTTTTTTTTTTTTTGTTGTTGACACAATGAGATTGTATTTTTAAAAAAAAAAACTTTTTATGAGATCAAAAGGGTCGAGTGAGTGTAGTATTTATTATTTGTCACCTAATTAATGATTCAAATTGTTCAGTTGATTGTCAACAGAATGAATACAAGAAGCTTCCACTTGATGATCTTCCATATCTTGTAGTAATGGATCACCGATGCCTCCATGTATATACTTATTTAGTAATTATTATCATGTTCATTTTATTTATTCTGGTTAGCGTTTTTCTAAGCAAGGTTGTTTCTTATGGGATGAGGTTACTGACTCTGTGCTCAACCCTGTTCCTTTACCCGAACTTGGGACTATCAGTTACCCTAGAAGAGCTACAGGTGGAGTTTGGGAAACGAGGAAGACCAAAGAATACATTTTGTTAAGAATCGGAAGCAAATATGAAAAGGATAACCAGCAAGTGGAAAGAACTGGAAAAGGTTGTCCAGGACAGAGTTGGATGGCGAATGCTGATAGGCGGCCTATGCTCCCCGACGAGAGGTAATAGGCATAAGTAAGTGAGTAAGTAATCATCATCATTATCAAT